ATTCCATAATAAACTGTAGGCTTAAGTATGAAATAAGGGCAAAAAATGATTTTTACTTTTGCAGAAACAAAACCAAATTACTGCATTCACAAGGAAGTAATGTCCTGTACCATGGCCATCAGCTCAAGCTGTCACCTTTCTCATCTACTGAATTGGTGTTTCATACCATCAGTGTCATCGTGGAGCTCTGTCTGGCTGCAGCACCACTGTCTGAATCGTGCCTACCTGCTGCTCCACAGCCCAGCCAAGGACTGGCCAGCCTGTGGAGGTATTTGCAAGACATTACTAATTTTATTCAGAGCTGGACACTGCTCCTGAGTCCTCGCCCCAGGGAGGGGCTGCCCCAGTGGCTGTGCTGAAAGGAAAGCTCACCAAGTACCTTGTGCAAGTGTGACCTGAACTTTCCCGAGCAGTTCCCTTTTCCCATCCAGTTTTACAGTGTTATCTACAGATGTGTTCCATAAGGGTACCTTCAAACAATGCCCACCCCAAACAGCAGGACAGCTGAATTAAGCAGTCTGAGAATGTGTTCAGTTCAACGCAGTCGCCATCAGACGGGAGGCGACAAGAATTCATCTGTACTTCCACTCCTGCCAGCTTTTCATGGGCTAGGAAAGATCAATGAATCAAAGTTATTTTGTCCTAGCAATTCTCACCACTTCTAGGATGCCAAGCACCTTATATGGTTTGCATTAGCATGGCTGGATTTCTGTCAGTGAAATAAGATGCCACCACTCGAGGGCCTTGGCCTCGCAGGCTGCACAATGAGGCACTTGTGTGAGAATGGCTTTGTGCCACCCACATGACTGGAGATATTATGATCTTAACTCATTTCACTCACATTCACTGCAGAAACACTTCTAGCCTCTCTTCTCTCCCCAGAATATACCACACCACGATCCTGAATACAGGGAAGGCATTATATAAGTGAAGAGCATTTCAGACAACTTGCTGGGGCAAGGAAAGCCAACAAAGTAACTTTCCATATGCTGTGCAGGCAAGGTATTTTATTTTTAAAAAAGTGATAGCTACAGTAGAAAAGAAAAGAAAGTTAGGTCTGCAGTGAAAAATCTGGGGAAATACACCATCAACCTTTCGTCTTCATTCATACTCTGTACTTTTTTACCAGCTCTTAGATAATTCAGTGACAAGTAAAACACACTTGCAGAAATATTGTCAGTTCTTAAATAGGACTGAAAGTGCTGCACCCACTGTTCTTCTGCTATGGCCTATGTGATCTCCCTCTTGACTTTTTCACTATTCTGCAGGCCACTCAGCCATCCTGACATTGTATGCACACGTTACAGGCCTATCTCTGACCAAATGAAGAAAAGAAACAATGAGAGTAATGACAGCACTCCTCTCCTCAACAATTAAGAGATTGCAGTGTTGTATTTTGTAGCTAACTGACTCCGTTTTATTTAAATGAAAGTCCTCAACAGCCTGTGCTCAAATGAGATAAGCTTGCTTAGTCATATGAGAAGAGATGTCATCAAGGTTAGGCAGATTTAAAAAAACACTAGCAACCCCAAACTTTCCAGCTCTCCACATTCTGCCAGACCCTGAATATTGAATAAATGAAACAGTTGCATAGAACAGCCACCCTGGAAAGAAACAAAACAAAAATAATCCCAGACCCACCTTCCGTTCTGTTATCCTACTGTGCTGTGTGATGGCAACTGTACTGCTGCTTTATAACATATCCCATTTCTCCTGAAGAGAGAGCTGAACTTTCAGTTGGACTTTGTCATATTCAGGCTGCAGCCAGTTTCTATAATGCTTCTCTTGGATGTAGGATGTGGCACATCATGGAAATGTCAGCAGATCCTCTCTGTGAGCTATTTTGTTACGTAGTGGGAAGCAGCATAGCAAGTAGGGAAAAGGATGGGAAAACTGAGGACAAACTCCCTGTAACTGCCTCCCACTTGTCTGACAAGGTCTGAGCCACAATGGATTCAAGGCACAGAGAGAAGATGGAAAAATGGCTACAAACTTTGAACCATTCATTGCCTTCAAAACACTGTTCAAAGATACCTTGGATATGCTCAATTCAAATAACTCACATCAGTGACTTTAATCTCTGGAAAACAAACTTGTAGTTTTCTGTCTTCTCAGATGTTCCAAGGTTTGAAGTGTAAATGGAAAATGAAATCATGATTTGTTATAGAAAATGACTGCAAAAACCAGGAGGGAGTCACAAGTTCTGCAATCTGGCAGATGCCCTACAAGCCTCTCTCGGCACCCAAGCCCAGGGCCAGACCAGTCTGAAATGAGATTTAAGCCATCAGCACTCCTGGCTCTCGTGGCTCAGAAGTTATGCGTTGTGAATCAGAAATACGTTACTTAACTTGTTTGGTTTGGTTTGGTTTGAGGTTCTTTTTGCTATCTGAAGCACTTAAATCAGTGCCTGCCTTAGAAGGGAGAGGCTGCCCACCTCCTCAGGCTGCCTCCTCCTCCTGCAGCCCACATATCTGAGGGGAGACTCAATCTGAGAGAGGACAGGAACTGCGCTGAGCTGCTGAGGAGACCCTGGGAAGGATCCAGCTTGAGCACTCCTTGAAGAGACAAACCTCTGCATTCCAGGCTTATTCACACCTCTCTCCACTACAAGTCAGACAGCCTGCTGCAAAGCCTCCTCTTTCTGAAGCAGGAGGTGCCCTTACGTTGTTGAGACGTCAGGAGTACCCAACTGTGCTACTGGCAAACCCCTGACTGAGGACAGACACACAACCCTGTGGGCAAGGGCAGACACCTCCAGGTGTGCAGCACTTCGCAGCACCAAGCATGCTCCACCTTAAAGTCAAAACAGAGATGCTTCAGCAATACAGGCAGAAAAGCTTTAAGAAACATGAGCCGGGATTTCCCACGCTGTACTTGTGCAGGGCAGAAGCTGCCCCAGGAACAAGCTGCCAACCCCTAAGCAGGCAGGCTAAATTTTATATGTTCAAATTTTAACACCAAACTTTATTTAAAACACAAAAATGGGTGGAACACAGTTGAAAACCTCACGTACAAAAATCCTGGAATAAATTCTCTGACACTGACAACTTTCCTATCTCCATTGGCCTGCCTGCAATTTTTTTTACGGTTTTATTTTTAATGATCCATTTCTGTTGTTTGGTTACTGAGAACATTTTAACTCCAGTAACACAAAAGGATCACTGAGAGCGATTTGTGTCTTCACGAATTAAATTCAGACGAGAACAGGCTTGGACTGCAGTTCTTTGTCCCTGGGTCATGATTACAAAAACCCCCTGTGCACCTACTGGAGAACGAGGCAGAACAGTCCCTTCCTCAGGTATGTGGCCATGGGAGCTAACGTTCCCTTTAAAGGACTGTAGGTGTCTGGTGTCTGATGATTGGTAAAATGCTAATGGTAATGTTATCTTAGTTGTATTTCTAAGTAAATTGTCCGCTAAGCCCTTGGTTTCACCTTGTAAAATAAAACAGAGATTATGTTCATTTCATAGAGGCTGCAATTTTGGGGGTTTGTTTGGTTCTTTAAAGAAAAAAAATCTGTCAGACTGCTTGTGTAGCTTTACATGACACTGCAAGAAAGAGAGAAAGCATGAGCGTGAAGGAAAACCTGAGAAACTGAAGCTTGTGGCCTGGTGCTTACAATTCACAGGCACGAAGCAGCAACACCACAGCTATTGCTTTGATCTCTCTCCCTGTTAATTCCTCTTCCCACAATAGAACCACTGACATTTCACTGGTATTCAGATGTGATTAAAATATACTCTAATACCTATAAATAGAAATGTTGGTTCAAAGCACTAATTAAAACCAAATATGGCATTTGGAAAACTGTATCAACAAAAAAGTAAAAAGGTGCAGTAAACAGCAGCAATCAAAATTTTGTCCCCCCCCTTTTTTTTTTTCTCGGAGAAAAAGACAGACCTGTGTTCTATAGACCTTTATGTTAATGTTTGGATTTCCAAGTGTCTACAAGCATCCACCCAGCAACTTCAGCGTAAGAGTAATAAGACAGATTATGCTCTCTCCTTCAATTCTGATTATTGCCACAAAGTTCCAGGGATAACAGGGTAAATCACGCACACTGACTTTCTGCAGCCTTCACAGTAGTTTTCAGTTAAATGCTAAGTCTACATTGTTCCCACATTAGCTTGATCACATGCCACTTCATAACAAACCTTTGTTTTTATACATATGTACCTACAGATCTTTATTTTCACGACAGATTCTACCCTCTTGCCTCCCCTCCTGCACACCATCGACTTGAAGCAAAGGCTTATTGCAAGCCAAGGGTACTTCACAGCTTTGCTGCCTCAGCTGTCAGAACTCTCACAGCACGAGGAAACCACGGGAGTTCACAAAATAGCCAGCTCTGCACTTGGCAATAAATATTGACTGGTTTGCCCCACAAAGATACAGAGAGCTTTGGAGCAGGGCTGCTAGCCTTTACAATATCATATAAAGCAGGGTTTTCCTCAGGGAATGTTAATATCACTGGCACATACTAGAGACAACCGTAAAGAAATGACTCCCCCTCAAACTCAAGCCCCAAACCAGAGCACATCTAGTCTCTCTCTCTCTGGAGAGCTAGCTCTTCTGAATCCTGAGTGAGACCTCCGAGCACACAAAGAGAAACAGTATCGGCTGAAAACCGGGAATAATAATTTTAGGACGTGACAGACACATTTGGAGACAATATGACAACTAAAACAAACAGGGGCTCTACCACACAGTCAGCATGCTACATGAGAAATCCAGCACTGGAGCAGAGGTGCTGGCTGGGGTGCATGTACAGCAGTTCGGACATCTGGGCTGCCCCATCCTCTGCTACCACGGTGTGCAAACACACCCAGGCCTACACAAAACATACCAGGCACGGGAAGGTGCAACAGCACCGGAGCTAAGATACCCAGTTTCAGATTCAGACATGTGAGAAGGGAACCTGAGTGAGCCTGGTTCCCAGGGGAACACCGTGGCTCTTAGGCAAGGGGGAGTGTCAGGAGATGGTTTTTGAAGAGACTTACCTCAGCATCCTGCTCCCGGAGCTGGTACGTTCTCTCCAAGCACTGCAGTGTTCTAGGACACAGTGTCTTCTCCTCCAAGAGAGACTCCAGAAGTAAGACCAGCTGGTCAGGGAGAAGCTAAGAGAAAAATAAATGCCGTGTGTGAATGAAGATCTCTACTGACCGAGCAATTAAATGGAAACAAACCAAAGAGGACAGGACTGTGATAGCAGGTACTTCCAACGTGTGCTTGAATACAACATGGACTTCTAGCTGGTTTCTGAAAAACCTAAGGGTTTGTGTATCTGTGTTCTGAAAGATTGTGCTGGGGGCACAATTAAGACTTGTTTTTCATGGTTTTCATTACTATGGTTAGGTCAGATTTAAAACATGCTCATCTTGTTGAAACATAATCATAGCTTAATAAGTAAGATTTTTATGGATTCTGTAAACCAAGTAATTCCATTTTGTTTAGGCTTGGGAGAGATAAAAAGAGAATAATTTACAATGCATAATTTCAGGAATGAACTAGGTATAAGAATGTATAATTTTTAGGGTGGCATTTGTATAATACATTTACAAAGAAACACAGCACAAATAAGTGACCCAGAAAACAAATGTTAGAGTGACACATTTTGAGGCACATTTTAGGGCAATGAGTCACAAGCCATTCATCATTACATGGTGAAGGCACATGAACGTTGTGTTTGTGGCACACATAGAATAATATCTATTTAGGTGGAAATATATATATATATATATATATATATATATATATATATATATATATATATCCAATAGTTAGTTGCCTGACTCCAGAACCTCTCATTTTCAACTTGAACCTAATGTAACCTAAACAGAAAAAGCACAAGAAGTCTGCTGTAGCAAGTGCTTAAGTGCTTTGTTTAGTAGGCTTACTGGATGAACAAATAAATAATTCAAACAGAGTTCAGCGAGAAATTACCCCAGCTGCCAAGAAAAAAATCTACTGGAAATTCAGGATTCAAGGTGATCGGTCAGAAGGTTTTATATGCCTCATAGTTTTCCCCATTATTCATCGTTGCAGGGCACCAAGAGAGGAAGGGGAAAGGAAGGATGTCAGTTTAAGCTTTTGCACGCAAAAAGAAACCAACACTGTTCACTTCTAATGTTCTGAAGACAGAGTAATGAAAAAAAGACATGCTGTTCCTGACACCACTTCCAGCTTTTAGCACATTTGGTGATTTTCTGCTCCCACCTTGCTGCCTGCCCATGTCCCCTCTGCTGTGCCAACACGCTGAGCAGGGGTTAATTTGGCCATGGGAAGTGCCTCACATCCCACAGCCAGGGCTGTTCCTGTGGACTGAACAAGTCTGGATCCCTGATCTCTGACAGCAAGTCCATGAAGATATCATGGGTCCATGAAGATATCAAGAATCTTCTGATAAGTCTTGATCTGTAAAATATCACCTTTAACAACTAACGCAACAACATGACATTTTCTTCCCTTTGAGACTGATCTAATTTAGCATTAGTACCTAAATTGGAATAAAAACAAAAAGAGATCTCTAGGATTTTAATGCTCTGCCTTGCATTTTGATTTCCTTCCATTTTTTTATTATTCAAGTCAGTTGTATTCTCGAAGACTAAAACACCCTCACATCTTACTGGCTCTTACTGGAACATTTTCTAAGTGATACTGAAGCCTGCCAAGAAAATGGCACTGTTAAAAATGGTCAGACATTTAAAAATATTGAATATTTCAATTTCAGGACAACTACTAAAACGACAGCTTGAATGTTTATTATATAGTCCAACAGCAGCTGCCTGGGGGTTGGTGAGACATACTCAAAAATATAAAAGGGAAAGCTTCTGGGAAGTGGCTCTTCTTGGAAACTGAATTAATTCTGAACACTAATAAAATCTGAAATGTTGCAGAACACCATGAACAAAAAGGTAACTTTTGATTTAGAAAGCTTTGCCTGCTAACAACAAAGACAGCAGAACAGTATTTAATTCGTAGAAACCATGCAACAGCTGCTTGAATACACAGGCACAGAACAGCCAAGGGTTGCTATTTTATAATATATCTCCAGTGTAATAGCTATAGAGATTCAGCCACAAAAAGATATTGTTTAAGGTAACATTACAGAACCTCACTGAAGCCAAGAGCAGCAGCAGAGCAGCAGCCATGCCCTTAATTTACCTGCATCGTGGCTGAAGACTTTTCAGAACTATAGAATAAACACTTATCAGTCCAGATTTGAGACTGCAGACTAGAAAACCAATCAAACAAACAGACAAAACTCCCCAGCAACAATTAAAAAAACCAAACCAAAACCAACCAAACAAAAAAACGCAAACCAATCCTGCCTGAGTTCAGGAAGTGTTTGGACAATGCTCTCAGGCACACAGTGGGATTCTTGGGGTGTCCTGAACTCCGTGATCCTGATGGGTCCCTTCCAACTGAGCATCTTCTGTGGCTGCTCTGTGATATGAGAACATGGCTTCTGCTATTTACCCACGTTCCAGATGCTCGATATTATCCTTTCCCGAGCAGTTGGCAGCTCAAGGATTAACTGCAGTCCCGGCAGAGGAGCCTGACAGACTCTCACCGCACTGGCACTAGTGGGCGCAGCTCGTACGGTTTGTTCTCTAACACAAATAACAGCAGGAACGTTCTCTCCTATGTCTTACCCCTTCCTTTCACTGAAAGGGACTCCCTCAAAGAGAAAAACTTATCCTAAGCAAAGACACAGAAAGCGTGGCCGAAGTTTCGCGACAGAGGCTGCTACAAAATTCATCCAGGAGTGTAGAAATCTTTTCCTCAAACAAAGCAACATGAATATCGTATCTCCAAAGCAGCTTTTTAACGGTTATAAATAAGCATCCAAAATTGCACTTGAATTTTCTGCCAAAAACCCCCACTCTTGCTATTTGTTGTTTTCCCCGCTACCAACTTATTTGTCCTGCCCATCTGTTACTTCTCACCTCATCCCAGGAGAATTGTTTGGGGTACAGGCTGTCAAATTTCCATTTGTTTGCCTTACACTTTACTACAAAGAGGCCCACGCTACCAAAACATAAATGCTGTAGAGAACAGAACAAAAATTTTACTTTTCAAGTATCATGAAGCCAACTTTCCTATACAACTCATATTCTGTGAATGCATATTGAAATATCTAACACACATAAAAAAGCACACAACACAACTACAGTGAGTTGCAGCAGCATAAACTTCACTTTGTCAGCGTGCATCTCCGTGTTAAAAACATTCAGAAAACAACTCTAACACCCCAAACACAAAATGTCAGTGTTCCTCCTAAAGCAGGCTAAAAAAATCCCCCATACTCTGAACTGTCCTGGAGAGCGCTCAATCAAAATGTTCAAATATACATGATTATTAGAGCAGATCACTTCAATCAGGAAGTGTGCTGAGGACCAAGAAATATTTTCATTACGTCAATGACTGCTGCACCAGGATCTATTTATACTGTAAGGCAGATAGTTCCTGCCCCAACCTAGGGCTGCTGCATGGAAACCACACTCCTTCTCCAAGGGCTGCCCCTCCCCTAGTTGTGAGTATTGACACTACAAAGGGGAAATAAATTAGTACGTTGTGATCAAGCACACCAGAGCTTTTCTGTCATGTCCCATGTAATTAAACATTTTCCCCAATATAAGGTTGTATCCCAGCACTGTACGCATCATCTTGCCCTTAAAACTATAAAACCTCTCCTTGCAACTCTTCAGCCTTTTGGAAGAGTTCACTTTGCTGTGCCACCAAACAGCCATTTTTGTGCTGCTCCCCCTGTTACCTGACGTGGTTGCTTTAAAGCCTGAATAACACAGCTGTCACCCTTAAAACAAACTGCAAATTATATATTTATATTGGGGAATATCAAAACTAGGTCTGCATTTGAAAAAGGCAAGATGAAAGAATTAAAGAAGAAGTAACCAAATTGAAAATATAACAGACTATTACAGAAGCAGCTCACTGGGGCTGAGATTCACAGTATGCTAAGTATCTGGGAAGTAAGAAAAGCATACTTTGTGTTTTATTCATATCAGCACACAAGACACTTAAGCCATTACACTGTGTCACAAGAGTATCTCAATTCATTAGTAGGTTTCACAGGGTTTCTGCGGATAACTTTGAAAATAAACCCTGTGAACTTTCTGAGTACAACCCCTAACCTGCAAAAAGCACAAAGAAAGGAAAATTTTTCCTCTTCCAAGAGCTGGCATAGAAGCCACAGAGGCCATCAGCCTCACATCCCAAACGACCACCCACCTGAAGGAGCCAATTTATCAATTCCTACATGAACAAATGCAATAAATGACAGATTTACCCTTTATACCAGAAAAAAAAACGCCACTGAAACATTTGACTACTGACCTTTCACAGCCATGAAATGTGACACAGATATATCTATCTGAGTATCCACAGCACCAGCTCTTGCACTGCACCCCTCAGCCAGGACACAAATCACTGAAGTTGTACAGCTGGTATGCTGAATATCCCATTTGCTCCTGCCTGCGTTTGAATGAAGTCATTGAAAGCCTCCTTGGAGGGGAAATCTGCCTCAGACTAATGCAGCAACCGATTGACAGTGGCGTGATTTCTATTATTACTCCATTATCACACTGGGATCTGTGCCTAAATGAGCATACTTCCTCCCTGATGCCATTTCCTTTTATCCTGGCTCTAATCTAAAAGTGGATCAATGAGAGTAATATATATGATGTCACTTCAATTTACAGCCATTGCCTCCTTCTCCCGCATGCACAGATGGATCGATTCTTCCCAAAAATGGTTAAGAAATGCACAGGGAGATTCTTCTCCGAGAAAAGGGTTCTCTTCTATATTTGTCTGTAACCACAGCAAGGAATTGTTTACACTGAGCAAAAAAACAGGGGGGAAAGGAAAAAAAAAGTCACTACTGTGCACTGGAAAATGCTGGCTGAAATACAAGAAAAACAAGGCCCAACAACTCTGAATTAAAGCAACTTAACCTTTGAAAATTATACAGAAACATTTAAAGTTTGTGAGGCACACTATATTTCTCCTGTATTTCTTTGGGGGAAGCTAGTCTTGAGTCCCACCCCCAGAGACATGAAATGCGTTTTCATTTACATTTTTTAAAAATTTTTCGAAG